GTCATAAGCTGAACGTGTCTGTCGAGATGGAAGAAATTAACCAAAACAAAACAAAAACCCCACTCACACACAAGGTGAACACAGTGTAACAAGGAGTCTCTCAAGCATTATGCCCAATTTGTAAACAGACTGCCAACTAAAAGTTAACAGTACTAAAAAAAAAGGAACAGGTCTTGTAGTTAGTCATAAATGTAGAGATCTTTTACACCTTCCATCGACATAATTGATAATTTAGGGGGCATGCTGTTTCTACGCTGTCTTTCAGGGCAAACCCATGCAGTGAGGGATGATATGGAGACACTAAATAACAATCCTCCCCACTTGTTTCATGAACTAATGTCTTCAAAATGCAACAGAAAAAAGCCTATCCGCCACATAACATAAATTATGGCATCTGTGCATTGGATAACGTAAAAAAACAAAAATAAAACAAACATAAATCAAAGACCTTCCTAAGCTTTAAAAACCCCCCCCAACTTATTCTTTCAGTTATGCAGAACTACAAGTTCAAGACTCAAGTAACGCAGGACAATGACATCTTTTTCAACAGGCATAAAAGGTAAATCCCTACTGTGCTAGCAAAATGGCACATCTCACTTTTGCTACTTTTGAGATAAAAAGAGAAAAAAAACCCAACAACTGTTTAACTCTTTAACCATGGCAGGACAGTACCACAGTCCGATGCAAAGTTATTATGTGTATTATGGTAGGGACTAAATATAAATTAAATACGAGCTAACAAGCCTTTAGTTTGACCCGGAAGTCAAAGACAAATAAATTCTACATCTGGTTGTGCTTTGTTGATCAGTTCGAATAAAACCAAACGTTTTTAAAAACATATGTCGAGTTGCATTTCCACAAACACGAACAAATTACGAGACAAAATGGTTTGAAATTGCATGGTTAAAGAGTTAACTTAATTATTTATAATCTAATAATGGTAAAACTTGACATGAACGTTTCTTTTGTGACTGCCAGTGCATTTTTTTAAAGGATTTATCAAAAATAGATATAATACCATTAAACAAAATTAAAAGCTAGTTGCATTTAGGAACAACTCTGAGTTATGCCATTTTGCTAGCACACGGACGAAATGTAGGTTTGTTAAAACAGTAAAAAAAAAACCCTCTACAATAAGCAAAGTACATATATCTGATTGATAATAGTGTTATCAAAATTATCTTTATCATTGGAATTTCTTTATTAATACATTGTATAATTAGTATTAGTGTTATCATCATCATTAAAATCACTGTTATGATTATATTCATTATAGTTATTATCATTACCATTATGATATATTTTTATTATTATAATTTTCATTAATGTTATTATTATCAATACATGGTTATGTTTTAAGACGTTTGCAGTTTTCGAAATTTACAGCAACATGCTCTAATGCATTGGTGCTTTTCTCATCATGTTGCTTTAAACCCACTGAAAAAGAAAACTGCTCCATAACTGATATTAATTTACACACCCAGCTATAAATTGTGTAAATGTTAAGCTTCAGTTTTTCTGGGTAGATTCATTTTTTTATAAAATGAAAACGTCAAAGCAGCGGCCATCCAATAGTATTTTAAAAAATGTTTCTCTTCTTCCAAAACTCACCATCCGAACAAAATTTAATCAAAATCTTTCCACAACACCTTGAAGCTGCCCTCTTAACACCCCCTCCTCCTACATTCC